AATTCTCATTCTTAATTTACTTAGAGGTCTCCTTCAACCTCCTCTATAGTTGATAGTAACTTTTGTTTAAATTAACTGGTATTAGAAAATGAAGGTGTAATATTACATTGGATGTCTAACTATTACAAATAGTCTTAGCAACAACAATAAAATTTAGGAATTCATATTAGCTTCACATATATACCATCCTGATATATAAATGTACTAATCCTCTTCCTAATTGATATTATTAATAAATAAATAAATAAAAAAAAAAAAAAAGTTTTTAATTATAGAAAAAACACGATATCTGCTTGAAAAACTTAGTATAGAAGAAGCAAAACTCTGTATTAAATTTATTAATTGCTGATTCGGTTATGATCAGCACTAATTACATGTTAATTATTATAAAAATTGGGAATAATCATTATAATAAATTTTATTATAGTGCTAGAATCTGAAACTTGATTACAAAATGGCTAAAAGAGTACGACAAGCCCAGGTTACTTTATTAGAGAAAGGTGTTTTGGATGAAACATTACATTACAGACTATATTCTTGTTATTGGTAGAAAACAAACAAGGTTTTTAATGATACATACTTTCCTATTCGTGTCGGACAAAAAACTAAGGTTATTCTTAATGATTGAGAGTTTATTATTACTATAGTAGTTGGGCATTCTAACAATCCCTACCTACTCGGTTATACTTGTCAAAGTGATGCTTTTTATACTAAAGTTCCAGTTCACGATTCTAGCACTGCTATTTCCTCTATTTATACCAGTATTTTTAATACCAAAACTCGTTATTCGGGTCCACTTATTATAGGATGGACAGATCATGATATCATTTCATAATTGATAATTGATGTTCCCTTTTTTTCTTTTTTTTTTAACTTAGGCCAAATTAAAATTTTTGTTTTTGGGATTAGGTTATCTTCTCGAGAAGATTGGAATAGAGATGGTTCGAGTTATTAATCATTATTAATTCACATGTATGGTAAAAAACAGGGCTTATATATTTCATCTATAGAGAATAATGTATGTGAGGTTAAGGTCTATCAAGATTCAGAGTTAAAAAAAGCAGTAGAGGGGGCATCTCCAAATAATGTTTAGGAGCATTTTAATATTAATAAATATAGTGGTATACAACTTTTTGGTCTTGACTATATTGTCACTCAACAATTAATAAAACAGCATCGAATTCCTACTTATAAACCAAATCAATGGAGAGATTTTTCTCCTATTAAAGCTCTTTATAATTATCATGTAAAATGAAGAACACTTTCTAATATTAACTGGTATAATCTTTTTGTTATGTGGCTAGAACAAGAAAGTAATATTATTGAGTTGAATTCTGCACTTATTCCATTATATCCAAAAGATTATCAGTTTAATAATCGAGAATTAAATACATGGTGATCAATGTTTTGCGCTGCTGGTGCTTATGATATAACACCTTGGTCATATACAGAATCAGAGGTATATCATAAAAGTTTTACCCAATTAATACTTATAAAATTATACATTAAAACTTGTTTTTACTTTATTAAATTAGTATCAATTTTGGACTAATTCTAACATACCAGACTATGATTCCGCAATACTTAAACAATTCTATGAATTTAGATATTTAATAAGTATACCTATTCATATGCCAAATGCAATACATACCTTTTGGAACTCTTTTTCACGTGCTTTAAATAATAACAAAAAAACTTTGGATGGAAAACGACGTATTTTATCAATAATTGCTGATGATTTCACCTATAATAAATTAGAAGAAAATTTAGGTGTAAGCTTTCTTTTTTTTTTTTTGCAAGTTAATAGCATGCAAAGTAGTGCTTCGATCCTTAATCTAACTAATTCAGATGGATCTGGTAATTCAGATTAAATACGGATATCTAATATCTGTTAATTTTTAGAGGATAGATCTGTATAGAAATGCAAGTGGCTCAACTGGCTTATATATTACAGCTGTTTTCATAAATTCTGGGACATCTGGCAAAAAATTAACCAACGAATATTTACTGATTTGATAAGTTTTAATTTAGCAATGATAATTATCAAAATCACTAACTTATCAAATCGGTGAATTTCGGCCGGTCAATTTTTGCAAATGTCTCAGAATTTATGAAAACAACTGTAATAAAAACTGATCAATTATAGCTAATTTCATAAATTCTGGAACACTTTGAACAATTGGTGATGACCAAATCAATAAGGTTTTGACACCAGCTAACATTGATAACTTATTAAGATTCAGTAACTTATCAATCCAGTCATCAATTTTTCGAAGTGTCCTAGAATTTATGAAAGCAGCTATAATAGAGACGATAAGTCAATTTGCAACTCTAGATCTGTAATATATATATAGGGTTAAAGATTAAAGACTATCTAGACTATGACCCTAGATGATTTCATAAAATTTAACCAAACTTTTGAATTCAGATTATTATCTGGATACATTAAGGAGGATCCAAATTTAATCCGAATAGCCTCTAAAGAATAGGATCGAAGCTCTAATGTAAAGCTATAAATTAATTACCTGATATTAAAAGGTTAGTCATCATACAATCTCTGAAGCCCAAAAGTATGCAAAGTCCTATGGTCATGGTGCACTACCTCTTGTGAAACCTATTATTCATCGTGCAAAATTAACAAAAGAACAACTAAATCAATTTGAACTTTTTTTTGCTGACAAAGCAAATGTTAATATGTCATCGTATAGAACTGAAATATCAACTGGGTTACCAATTCTGTATCTTCAAAATCATAAAAAAGCCTTATGGGAAAAATTTCATGAGAAATATTTGAATGGGATGCAATGTACATCATTTATGACTCACTTACAAGGTGGCTGATATGTGTATAAGGATAATCTTGGTGGTATATGCTCAACTTGCAATGAGCTTGGATATGAGGTGTTTGAAGAAATTGAAATACTTTTAAAGTTACACATTAGTAATATCGATCTTCAGGTATATAAATAAAAATATATATTATATATACACATATATATATAATATGCGATACATATATATATATATACAGTGTTGTATCACAGATATAATATACTTATCTCGAATAAATATAGCCATTTTCATAATTTTGTTCATCTAATATCTAAGATCATATGGTATAGTCTACAGTTCATACACACATATATATCTCTTCATGGTACAAAGTATTATTTAGTACACACATAATACTAACAGAAGTTATATGTGAATTTCTGACTTTTTTATCTACTTTTCTTGAACTTTGATTGACTAAAAATTTTTTTAACTACAAAATTTCAGTTAATATTAGCCATTTTTTATATATAATCTCTGTAAGTATTATGCGAGTCCTGTACATAGCAAAACAATACTTAGAGTATATGTATTATATGTATATACTCTAAGTATAGTTTTACTACATATTTAACTACTAGCATTTTGAAAGTATAAGTCATATTATAAACCTTCACACAGTACTATTCAGATTAGCCAGTGTTAGTGTTTGGATGCTACTTATCAACTATTCGAATCTCATATTTGTGATCATCTAAAAAAATTTTTGTTATTAATCGTGAAGAATCTTCACGATTATTGTATAATAATCGTGAAGATTCCTCACGATCAACTTGACAACACTGCATATATGCATATACATTTGTATACATATATTAATTGTGTCCTTAACGCCTAAATATAGAATAAATTGAGTACACAAGCTCAAACTTTAAAATGATATTTATAAAAAGATTATGCCATAAAACTTACTGTTAATCCGTTAGGTCATGCTGTTCATGATCCTTGTATAAGTCATTGTTTACGGCATACGTTTGGTGATTGTAATCTAGTTCATCCAGAAATATATGAGAACTGTGAAAAATTGTTTATTCTTTTTGATGAAATAAAGACTAATACTCCTACAAATATTCATGAGATTTTAAATGAATATCAAACTAAACTTGTATATTTTCAAGCTCATCATGCACAAAAGACATACTTTAATGCACAACTAAGTACTGATCTTACACAGCTTAGTTCGGATGATGCACTAATAATTGTTGATTATAAGATGAAAATTTTGTGTCAAAAATCTCGAGAAACAAAGACTGAGTTTTTTGGTAAACGAGAGTGGTCACTTCATTCAGTCTTAATGTATACGAAGAACTCTGATGCTGATACTGATAAAATTAATATACATGCATTTGACTACTGGAGCGATGATAGTAAACAAGATGCCTGGTTCACTACATCTTCACTTCATGGCATAATAGAAACACTTGAAATAAAACCAAAGTAGATTAGTATTTTTTCTGACAATAGACCACATTATCACAATACGGAATTAATAATAATAATAGCTCGTTGGAAGGAATGGTATAGTATTTCAGTACGTAAATGGATTTTTCTTGAAGCAGGCGAAGCAAAAACAGTAATCGACTCCCACTACGCCTAGGTATAAATAAATTTTTACTTTTTTAATTAGCAAATTCTAATAAGCTATTATTGTTGTCTGCTTAGTTAATACATGCTATAAAACGATGGGTAAAAATGGGACATGATATCGAATTAGGTAAGGAAATACAGGAAGCAATAAAAGACTTGGCAGGAACCCACGTCGCCAATATCATACCTAATCATGAGAGTTTGTATATTTTGTTTCTTCTGTTTTAAAAAAAAAAGTAATAAGTATTAACTAATCAAACTAAATAAAGCAAATTCCAAGTTGAGAACAATACATAGAATCTCTAATTGGCATGAATGGACTTGGCCAGATGAGAGAGAGGAAGCTGGATATATTTTGGCTAGATCATTACTACGACTAGGATCATGGAATAAATATACACCTAAAAAAATTATAAAAGTTACAAAAGATCATATTTTTAAAAAACCAGAACCAATGCTATCAGAACATATAGAACCTACTAAATCTTGGACTATACCAATACCACATGTTCAAAGTATATACTATTAATGATACCTTAACTTTCATCAATCCAAATTTAATTATTTATTTGCTGTTGAATA